GATAAAAAGGATAATGTAAAATCATCTCTCTTGAGTGATGTATACTTGGACCTTGTTTATCATTAAGATGTTGTACAATTCTAAGAGAGAGCATTGGTTTCAACTGAAGGGAAAAATCTATTGGATTTTATTTTTCTTGTATTGTGTAAATCAGGGGTCAGCAAACTACAGTCTATAGACCAAATCTAGCCTGCTGCCTCTTTTTGTAAGTAAAGTTTTCCTGAAACACAGCCATGCCCATTTTTTTCACATATTGTCTGTAACTGTTTTTGAGCTATAAAGGAGGAGTTGTGCAGTTACAACAGAGACCATATGGCCTGCAAAGCAACAAACTATTTACTATCTGGTCTTTTACAGAAAAGTTTGGAAACTCCTGGCTTAAATGATGACAACAAACTTTCTATTTTTTTTTTAAATTTCTTTTTTCAACGTTTATTTATTTTTGTAAAAAAATTTTTTTCCAACATTTATTTATTTTTGGGACAGAGAGAGACACAGCATGAATGGGGGAGGGGCAGAGAGAGAGGGAGACACAGAATCGGAAACAGGCTCCAGGCTCCGAGCCATCAGTCCAGAGCCCGACGCGGGGCTCAAACTCACGGACCGCGAGATCGTGACCTGGCTGAAGTCGGACGCTTAACCGACTGCGCCACCCAGGCGCCCCGACAACAAACTTTTTAAAGTATCAGACCAAACATGCAACCTGCCCTAGGAAATCTTTAGTAAACAAGTCTTTTCAATTCTTAAGATATTATTTTTGTGAAAGCAACTACCAAAGGTTTAGTTGTCTGTGTTTTGCATTTTTCTCTTATCAAGAAAAGTTGCTATGCATTGCTTTTTTTTAATTTCATTTTTTTTCTTTTTATACCCTTGCTGCTTGAAAATTCTCCTCCTAGACTAGTTAAATAAAATATTGGAATTCAATGTCATGTCCACAGTTCCTTTTAAATTTCCACTGACACTAAAATGCATTTTGTGTTATGACATTTCTCATAAGAGCTAAGTGTTGGAATAGAAGATAAAATATCAGAAGACATCTAATAACCAGTTTTATCTAGCAGAATCCTGAAGTATTCTCCTGAGTTCAGGAGGTGAATGGATATTCTAGATAATGGAGCAACACTTCAGAGATTTTTATTTTTTCCTTCTTCCTTCTAAAATAAGTATTCACTTCATGAGTTTAAATAACCCTATAAGATTCTCTTGAAAGAAATATTTTATTTTAAAAGCTAGAAGCTTTCACTCAATTATACATTAATTTTATTGTTGTCATTTAATAAATGGCGATTTAAAATTAAGAACATTAATACAACTGTGTCCTAGGAAATAATTGAGTTGTAATACAACAGCCCTTTCAAAAAATTAAATTTCCTATCAAATGAGGATCAGTTGGAGTAACCAAATGCATAAGTGCCCTTGATTAATATTTAAGAATCTTTATGAATACATTTGCATTCATATGTATTTTGAAAACACTGTGAAATTAGTTCTGATTTGAAATAAAGATTTGAGGGAGAGTATTTATATGCTTCCACTTTCACCTTATATTACAACAAAAGGTAGGTTTTTCAATCAAATGAGAAACTCAAATTATTAGAACCATGTGATAAGATTTAAATCCACTGATTATTTTGCATATCCACTAAATCTAACTTAATTATAATTTCCTTGAATTTTTAATAAACTGTTATAAGCTCATATCAGATATTTGTTCAGTTATTTTAGTGCAGGGAATTCTGGGTGTTATAGAAACAAAACGTGGTTTATGCCACCAAGGAGTTTATAATCTTAGGAAAAAGATTAAAAATATATATGAAAACAATCATTTAGTCATTCAACAAATCTTTAGCCTGTACTTGCTGTGTGATTAGCATTGTCTGTGAGCTAGGCCCGAGGAATGCAGCAGTATACAGAATAATCTTGCTTTCATAAGATGTGATACAGAAAAAGCTGAGTGAAAAAAGCCCTAGAAGTAACAAAACATACTAAGAGAGACTAGAGCAGGAAAAAAATAAAGAATTTTGGCTGTTTAGGATAGGAGTTGAGGTAGAAAAACTTCATGGTAGATGAGGCCAATGAGTTGCATCTAACAGGATGATAGAATTCAACTCTGAAAGGGCATTCTGGGAACTGAGGGGAGAATGGGTCATGGTGCAGAACTCAGAAATTTGTATGTGGTATGTGTAAAGAATAGCAATTATATTAATCACGTTGGCAACTTTGTTTTCCCGTTTCTAATAAAGTTAAATACCTCCTTCACCATGTAGCAATTCCACTTCTAGGTGTTTACCCAAGAAAAAGGAATGCATATGTTCACAAAAAGAGTCACAAGAATATTCATATTAGCTGTGTTAGTAATAGTCCAAATTCTCATCAAAAGGAGAATGGATAAACTATGTTATATCTATAATAATAAAAATAAATGAGCTGCTTATACATGCAGCATAAACGTGTGAAATCTTCATAGATGAATCTCATTAACATGTTGAGCTAAATAAGTCAGACAAAAGAGTATACACTGAATGATTTCATTCAAATGAAGTTCTGGAATAGACAAAATGAATCTATGATGATAGAAATGAGAGTAGTTTTTGCCTCAAGGTATGGGAGTAATTTGTCTGGAAAGGGGGCGTGAGAGAACTTCCAGGTGATGGAATTTTTCTAGCTCTTTATCTGGATGATGGTTATATGAGTGTACACATTCATCGAAATTCATGGAACATTTGTACATTTCACTGCATGTAAATTTTACCTCAGTAAAGTACTGCTAGTATGAGAACAGACTAGTTCAACAGTGATGAGAGTACCCAACACATGGCAACCTAGTGATTTTCATATAATAGCAAAAATTTTAATAAAGAGGGTGAAAGTAGTTGTTTATTCCAACTGGTCTTGTTTTATACAATCAAAGTAAGAGGCAAGATTAGCTACTGAAAGAAGTGAGGGTTTAAGGAGAGAGAAAAGTTAGGAAGAACTGAATATGGAAGGGAATTATGACACACTGATAAGATCAGCTAGTGTATTTCTTATGGGGTTTTAATGTCATTGCCAACAGTCATGTAGCCTGATACACTCAGTTGATTAGATCGTGGGGAAATGAGCCCATCTCTGCAAAGACTTGAAAAAAAACAAATTGAGCAGATTAACAAATAAATAAATCATGGACTATTTGACAACAACTTCTTACGTCCACTCTTAATGTTCTACCTGGATATAAATTAGGTTTCATTGCATTTGGTGCCTCTTCTTAATTAATTATGGTGTGGAGTTGTGTCTTATTTCTACTTATTGTATTTCATTCTGTGTCTCATTTTTCAGCTGGTTTCAAAGAAGAGAGTGGAGCAGAAATGATCCTGCTCCTCCGCTTTTAATTGGAAGTCTCCAGAAATACTTTTTCATATTAGCATTTTCTCAGTGCAGGGTGTAGAAGCATGTTAGAGATATTTGTGATATTAACTCATGCTTAGCGTTGCTTATAAAAGATGTTCCTGATAAGTTCTTTAAAATGCCTAGGAGACACCTGGAATGCAGGCTTTGGAGCTGGCCTGATCTATGTGGCCTTCAGAAAATTCTCTTTGTTTCAACTTCCTTGTATGTAAAATGGATATATCTAATAATTACCTGGAGGGTTGCTTTGAAAATTACAACTGATGTATTTAAGGTGGCTATCAGAGTACCTGGAACAATGGTAGGAACACAGCAAATATCAACTATAATTGTTAATTGGTGAGTTTGTTGAGGTCTTTTTACAACTACAAAGCTAGACTATTATGCCTACACTCTATAGTCCTTCAATTTGATTTGGCTTTGGAGATAACTAAAGAGTTAATTTAGTATTTATTATATTTTTTAACGGTACTAAATACATTGTCCTCTTTTTTGACCAGAGAAAGTTATATAATCTAAATCAAGAGTCAGCAAACTTTTTCCATATAGGGCCGGGTAGTAAATATTTTTGGCTTCAAGTATCATATAGGTTCTATGGCATGTACTCATCTCTGTCATTGTAGTGAGAAAGCAGCCACAGAATGTACACAAGAGGGTGGCTACATTCAGTGAGACTTCGTTTACCAAAGTAGAAGGCAAGATTTGGGACACAAGTCGCATTTTGATGTTCTGAATTCTGGTAGATTCCATATTACATGGCATTTGTTACTCTTTTGCCTAATAATGATTACTTCCAATGATTTCATTTTATGGAGGAGGCTGCTTATACTTTTTGATGGTGTTTCAAACATGGAGTTATTTTTAGTAGTCCTGGAGATGTTGTATATATTCCACCCCCTCCCAGTTTTGTGGTGATCAAACATGGAATTTTTAACATTTTGAAAATGTTTATAAATGAAATGTTATAAATGAAAATGTTTATAAAAATATCCCTTACAGATAATTCACTTAAGTAACTCAAAGAAAGCCACTCGGGCGTCCCTGAATAGATGTGTTTTTGATACTATTTTGGTAACTTCTATAGTGCTGTCCACATAGTAGATTCTCACTAAACACTTAAGAACTTCCCAGCTGAATAATCTGTAGAGTTATATTATTCATACTTCTAGTAGGCCTATGTGGCCTTATGCTTACTCAGTATACTATCACTGTTAGATTTTAACATATGTCAGGAAGAGATCAAAACTACTATATATAACATGGTCCTATATTTTCTTGTTCAAACATATCTGTGTGCCAACAACCATCGAAGTCTTTTGCAAACGTAACATAACAGCCATGAGAACAGTTTTGAGTGTGTGTTCAGCTTTCAAGAAGAACATAGTTTATTTCTATGTCTAATAAAATGACAGTGTCATCACTCAAAATGCAAAGCATCGATGAGGAGAATTTTCATTACTTAATTCTGACAGACAAGAAAATGTGGTTAGTGATTTATAATTAATGGGAATTGAGACAGCGTCTTGTCATCCCTGAGTTAGTATTAGTAGAGTAAGGGAGAGCAGGCACATGTTTCCTAAATGGGATCAGTTCTTTCATTTAATATTTGCGTGCCTTTTTATGTACCAGGAACTATCCGAGCTCCTGGAGATGCTGTTTTGGACAAGATAGAAAAGCGAGCCCCTGGTCCTCATGGAGCCCACATCCTTACAGGTGAGACAGTGGCTACCTGGGCTAGAGGAATCCATGATATCCTGCAATAAGGGACATTTAAGTGAGAACACAAATTTAAAATTTCAGAAAAAAAAAAGAGATCTGATGACATTGTCAGAAATGCAGAACGAGAGCATAAATCAAGAGCATTAGGCTTTGTGTATATAAATGCTAAGGGATTCCTACATGCTGGGCACTTTGCTGAGTGTTTTATATTCATTAGCTCATTTATGCTTTACAACAGAGCTCTACAGTATGTCTGGTAATCTATACTTTGCAGATGAAAAAAGGCTGTGAGAAGCTGAGTAATTCACTCAAATAACAGCCAATACGTGGAAGAGCCAGGACTGGAAGTGAATCCGTCTGTCCCCAGCTGTGGTCAGGAGCAGTATGCAGACAGGGAGGCATGTAAACAAGTAAATGCCTCCATCTCAGAATTAGTCTGTTGAGCTCAGAATCTGAAGAGGGCACGTATAATACTAGAAGGGGTAAGAAATTAAGGACCAATATCTAGAAGAGGCATAGACTTTTAAAGGCATCCTGACCTGAAAATCCTCTAAGAAAGACTAATAAATAGAATAACCTGAAGTTTATGGCAAAGGTTAGAATGTTCAGGTACCACTAGAATGTCACTTCTCTAGAGAGTAGGCTTGATGAGGGCAGGGATTTAATCAGTGCTGTGTCCACCTAGAATGGGGCCAGGGTGCAGCAGGCATGCAGAGTCAGCCGTGCAATCCAGCTTCAACACAGCCCCCAGAACCAGGAGTTCTTTCCTGATGGCCTGTGGACCAGATGGAGAAATGTGATTCGACAACTACAATGACAGTGATTAGATTAATGCATTTATATCTTCCTTCCAATCGTCTTATCCTTCCAATCGTCAATTTTTCACAAGTGTTTTCCATAAAGAAACACAGAAATTCGTGGCAGCTTCTTGCTTACCCTGGAATTTAGTGTATAGAACATAGCTTGAGATGAGAGGTAAAGGGCACTGTTAAGCTTTGTATATCCCTCCACTCTCCGGCTGCTTATAAAGAATCATTTGCAGGGGCGCCTGTGTGGCTTAGTCGGTTAAGCATCTGACTTCGGCTCAGGTCATGATCTCAAGGTTTGTGAGTTTGAGCCCTGCGTCGGGCTCTGTGCTGACAGCTCAGAGCCTGGAGCCTGCTTCGGATTCTGTGTCTCCCTCTCTCTCTCTGGCCCTCCCCCGCTCACGATCTGGCTCTCTCTGTCTCTCAAAAATAAATAAACGTTGGAAAAAAAATTTTTTAAAAAGAATCATTTGCTGCAATGGGATAAAAATATAGAAGGCATGCTTATAAAATATGTGGGTGACCCACTCGAGAGACAGACGAACCTGATATTATGTTGAATAAATGAGGAATCAAAACAATCATGATAGCCAAGCAGATTGGCTTGAAACCAACAAAGATTTTTGAAAATAGAAGATGGAGAAAATGTATTTTGATGGTATATTATTATGTAAAATATCTTTGGGATTTAGTTGACTATAAACTGCTTAAGAGCCTATTAATAGGGACTGGCTGTTTAAATTAATATATATGTATATATTTTAACTAAAAAAGGCAAAAGAGATAGATCGGTGTAGGTAATAGACTCATTATACTGGATGCCAGAAGGATCGCATTCTTGGCATTGTTTCCCTGTCAAGGTGTTCTGCTTGAGAGGAACATTTACACACCAAAAGGACATAAACCCTAGCCTGTATGGGAGTCTAGCTGTAGGTTAGGTCTTTGTCCTATCTTACCTGGATTATTCCAATTTTTTTTAAGTTTATATTTATTTTGAGAGAGAGCAAGTAGGACAGGGGCAGAGAGGAAGGGGAGAGAGAGAATCCCAAGTAGGCTCTGTACCATCAGCACAGAGTCTGATTCAGGGTTTGAACTCATGAACTGTGAGATCATGACCTGAGCCTAAATCAAGAGTCAGATGCTTAACCGACTGAGCCACCCAGGTGTCCCTAGATTATTCCAGTCTTATTCCCATTTCCCTGTCTAAAGTTTTGCTTTCTTCAATCCATTAAAAAAAAAAAAAAAAAAAAAAAAAAGACTTCATTTTGTAGAACAGTTTTAGGTTCACAGCAAAACTGCACAGAAAATATAGAGTTCCCATATACTCCCTTCCCCCACGCAAGTACACCCTCTCCCCCTATCGACATCCTCACTAGAGTAGCACATTTGTTACAAATGATGAAGCAATGCTGACACATTCTTTTCATACAAAGTTCGTGGTTTATGTTAGGTTTCGCTCGTGGTGTTGTACATCCTATGGATTTTGACAAATGGATAATGACAGTGTATCCACCATTATAGTATCATACAGAAAGTTTGTCATACTAAAAATCCTCTGTGCTCCATCTATTCATCTCTCCTTCCTCCCAAGTCCTGGCAACCACTGATCTTTTTACCATCTCCATAAGTTTGCCTTTTCCAGAGCCTTCCATTTTTCACACCGTGGCCAGAGTGTGATCTGAGATGATAATCCTCACTGTCTTCACTGACTTGGCTCTTCATTGTTTTCAGGGTCGAGTATAAACACTATGTTGATCTGGCAGTGAACTGGGTGCTCAGGTTCCTTCCTTCCGTGAAGATTGTTCTGTGTGTGTGTGTAGACTGATCAATAAATTGTGAAACGAACAGATAATAAGAGGAGTTCATGTAGCAGTAAGTGCCACAAAGATGATAAAACAGTAATGGGATAGAGAGAGTGTGCAACATGGGAGACATCTCTGAGGTGGCCAGAAATGGGCTGAAAGTGAACAATGGGGAGTTGGCCAGGAGAAGATCTTGGGGATGAGCCTTCTGGGCACAGGGAACAGCCAAGTGCAAAGGTTCTAGGGAGGTGTCAGTCTGGGCCAATATTCTGGAGAGTGATCTCTAGGAGGGATAATTTGATGAGAATCTTGAATAGCGTCTATGGATGAGGGAAAAGGGACCAGTATATACTGAGGCTTTTATCTATGTAATTCATTTTAATTTTGAAGAGATTAGAAATTATCCCTTTTTACCAGATGAGAAGAAAAGAAGTTCCTAGAAGTTAAATAACTTGTCCAGGTTTTCCCAGCCAGCAGCGGTAGAATGGAGTCTGAATTGTTATGTCTGATTTTAGATTCACTTCCCACTTTAGGTAATTTTCTTGGTGAAAGAATTCAGGATGTTTATCTCTGCTGAAGAGCTTATCCGTGAATGTCCTTTATTCATTTTTTTATTTGCATAGTAGTTATCTCTTTCTGTATGTGTGATATCATTCTGCTTAAGAAAGTAAACTACAAGGAGTCATGAACCATTTCAATCTTACATTCCCCACTGTACTTAGTCATGTTTAAATATAAACCCATCAGGATTGAGTTTCAGTGATAAATAAAGGAGTTAATGTGCCTCTCAGCAGAACCTCCCTTATGATAAGGGCACAGTGTAGGAGTTGAGAGATAATGGCTCATTATATGTAATCCTAGAGTTTATATTCCAGTTTTCCTTGTTGATGATGCCAAGGAATGTAGCAGTATATGTCAAACAGAACAGAGCACTTACATTTGAAAAAAGAGATTTCCATTTTCCTTAGGGAAAATGACCCCACTTACATTTTTTAAATGAAAAAAAAAAACAAAACATAGGATATACTGAGATATGGTGGCTCAACTGTAAGATATACATACAGACATGGTGGTCTGTCAGTTTATCTCAATATAAAAGCACACAAAAAAGGATGTGCTAAAGACTACCCCACCTCATAAACTTCTGATATTGCGATCACCGTGGCAAGGGAAGAATTAAAAATCAAAGTTGGGGGGCGCCTGGGTGGCTCAGTCGGTTGAGCATCTGACTTCGGCTCAGGTCATGATCTCATGGTCTGTGAGTTCGAGCCCCGCGTCGGGCTCTGTGCTGACAGCTCAGAGCCTGGAACCTGCTTCGGATTCTGTGTCCCCCTCTCTCTCTGCCCCTCCCCTGTTCATGCTCTGTCTCTCTCTGTCTCAAAATAAATAAACATTAAAAAAATAATAATTAAAAGAAATAAAAAAAAAATCAAAGTTGGAATCTCCAACATTTCCCTTTCCTCAAGAAAATCCTCTATGGAGCTCCCTCATTTGGTAACAATAATTAATATTACTGTTGAGATCTGTGGCTCGAAAATATACTTGGCGCTTGTATGAAAGCTCCAGGTTTCCATCTCTTTAAGTAAAGAATACAGCATCTCTTTCTGGTGGGCAGGAATAATTTAGAATTGTTCTGTATTACGTTTCATTATGGATGATGAGTTTCTGCCTGAGCAGAAGTATCCTGGCTTCCTGTAAAAGTGTCAAGGTAGACTGGGCAGGGGAGGGCAGAAATTTTGACTGTGCATTGGGGAGGTGAGCTTTCTGCATTGAAAGTTTGGTGGCTAGCTTGTGGACTGTGTTATGAGAACATATCATTAAAGGAGCCACAGTAAAAGTACTGTAGGAAAAAGAGCGGTAAAGATTTAAAAGGTAGCCGAGACAATAGGAAGGCTACAAGGCAAAAGGGCAAGACAGGAAATAGCTCAGGCAGCATGGAGGTGTAGACAGGACAGGGAGGATAAAATATGTAAGCCAAGTGCAAGAAGCCGAGTCAAGGGGGTCAAATAGCTATGGAAACTGGTTAGAATCCCCATCGGGATCCTGAAAACAAAGCCAAGAGCAATGGACAGGGGAGCTGGGAGAGAGGGAGGTGGGAGAGAGACTGAAGTCCTGTCAGCAGATGGGAAGTAATGGAAGCACAGGTCAGAGCGGCCTCCAGGATGGAATTGCAGAGCCGGCAACGGAGGATAAGAGCACGGTGTGCGACCAATTTCAGATTTCTTGTCTCGGAACCTGTTTTGTTCTTGCAAGCAGATCTAGCAACAGAAGGAAACATTTCAATGTAACAATGTGGTTTCAAAGGGCGAGCCTCAAAAAACAAATGGAAGCTTGGCTGTTTCAAAATAGGTCACCCTGTGAACGGTCAGTTTAGCTCTAGCTTATG